GGTCCAAGACAAACCTGGACTCAATCCAACTATAAGCTTTATCAAAAATTAAGGTTTTAAGCCGACTCTTAAACATAGAGAGGGTGCCTCCAGAACTGAGACTGGAAAAAGATGCCACAAGAACACTCTGGCTCCTGTTCTATATCCTCAGCAAACAAAACAGCACGTATTATAGCCATGCAGATGATTCATAACTTTACATATCACATTTCCTGTTGTCATAACAAATTGGATTGGCTGTTAAACTGCTTGAAGGATGTAATATTTGGATATCACAAAATGTCCTGAAGGGGAACAAGGACAAGAAGGAACACTGCATTGTGTTCGGTGCAAGGCACAGAGGCAACAAGTCATTTACTATACTGACCAGGTTAAAAACCTGGGAGTTAATGCTGATGCTGACCTAAATTTTAATAAATGAATTAGCAGCATCATAAACACTTTCAGAAAAATCTTAAAAGTTAAATTCAGAAACCATCCATGCCTCTGTCACCAGACTAGACCCTTTTCAGTGGTCTTCCATGCTAAGTCATTTCAGCGGCTTCAGGTTCTTTGAAGTGGAGCCACTAGAACCAAAATGTTTGACCACATCGCTCCAATTCCAGCTTCACTGCCTATCTGTGCACAAGAATTGAGTAAAAAATATTACCTCGGGTCTATATAACATGACATCCCCCCCCTGACATGCATTCATGCATTCATTTAAATTCAGAAAGTTAATTCCAAACCAGGCGCCCAAGCAATTAATCCTTATGATCCCTAAGTATGGAGCAATCCAATTGATTTGCAGTTTGTACCAAACCTCAACTCAGGGGACCATTTACCTGCTTTTCTAGATCTCAATTTTATTTAGTGTTTGAAAGGGTATAGTTTTGTTGCATGTCCTTTTTTTTCAAATAAACCTGTTGACACTATTTATCGCAGCTATTAAATATTAGTATTAGGCTTTAATGTGGAAGTACACGCAGACACAAGTCTCAGCTGAGTGCCTGTTTGGCTGCTGCAGAGGGTTGTGCTGCTCCCTCATTTCCCGCTACGCCCATCACTGGAAAACAATCATAAAAATCGGAAGCAGCTTATCCAAGGCTGCTGTCCCATGAAAGGCCCGAAGTGCGTGTCCAATGGTAATTATCTCCTCTGACAGACTGGCCTGCCAGAGAACTACAGGGTTGACTAAGAGTCAGTAAGGGGTTGGAAGGTGTCTATCCTGTCAAGCAGTTGAGCTACGGGACCATATGGGTCTGTTTAGTCCCTCCTATTTGTCCCATATTCTGCATTAATGCTTTCCAGATGGGGCTGAAGGTCAGGAAAGCGCAGCTAGTGATTTGAAAGATTAATCTACGTTCAGATGGAACTTTATATTGTCCTGTACAAAGATATCAGTAACTTTAATAACAAACCACACCAGTCAAAAGTGGTTGCTTCAGACTGTCTGTCGTACCTCTTGTGCATATAAATGATTTAAAACTTCAAGATATATGAACTTTCTCCCTTTCTACCACGGCCCTTATTTACATAATCAGCTTTATTGGACAATAATAATACTGCTGTTGCTTGTATTGGTCAAATGCTTTTTTCTAATGCAAAAGTCAACTAATGTATGAATTCATGTGTATTTATGCAGTCACTCAGCTTTTCTTGACTGAAGTGTTCCTTCCCACGATTGTTTTATCTTGAATAACATCATGATCTATACTCTTTTCATTTGCATTTCCATAATAAACAAAGGAAATATGCAGCCATCTTAAGGCCTTCCAGGGATTTTCTTTCCCATGTTAAAAACTTCTATATATATATATATATATATATATATATATATATATATATATATATAATTTTGAGGAGCAACGTTGAGTTTGAGGGATTCCATCAATTCTACAAGAGGAACTTTAAAGTGAGCGTGGTTGGCCATCTGAGTCCAATTGATGTTAAAGCTGGCACTGACCCAGGGCCCACAGGGACAGCTTTGGCAGGGTCTAGCTCAGGCCTTTTCCTTCCTGTTCCTCCATGACATCTTCCTGCCTGGGGGGTGTAGGGGTGGGTGGGGGCCTCTGGGAGCCATTGAGCGAGGCTGCTCTGAGCCCTTGGAGCTGCAGGATAAGCTCACACAGCAGCTTCTAATTAGGCTTTAGCACTGACAGGTGGAGAGAAACTGGACGGCTGGAATGCTTTCTGCAAGTGTGCAGTTATTTGTGCTGCCCCAGAGGACGACGAGTGCAATAACTTTCTGTCAGAAGGGTGTATCTCCAAACACCAATTCAGGGGTGATTTAACGGATTCATTTTAGTCATAACTGTTGTCAAATCTTTAAAACCGTCATAAATCTCATGGTTGGCTGTGCATGCACCACACAATGATGATGAGTAACTTTTGCGTGCTTTGTAGGGAATAGTTACTGCAGAAATACAGATAAGATGAAGTACTGATACACACTTGTCATTCTCAACATCGCAACACAAAGACACATCACATGCACAAATAATGTTCGTCCATGACACATCTTTTATAGAAATGTAGAGGAAAAACGCTTTCAGAAAATTGCAATGAAGAAATTAATAGACCAACCACTACAGCTTCTACTTTGAGAAAAAAATTTAAGAATTGTTAGACCCTCGCAGAAACTTTGCAGAGATTTCTTGCCAGGAGTTAGGCTCCATCCATACCACTATGTTTTAATTTGAAAACACATTAATGATCAATCAATTAATTATCCGGGGATCCACACAACATTTCATTCATTTTAGAGCCCCTAAAACGGAGATGTTTGGACAATGCTGCTGGCTCCATTTTAGTTGGAAAACTCCGGGGGCTTCATTTTAGTGTGGATGAGCACTCACAACATCTTGAGTCTTGGGTCTTTTCAGTATGTTAGTGGTCCCTTGATATGTGTTTTCAGGGGTTTCAGTATGGACAGGGATTAAATATGATATGGAGCCGAAACACAAGTGTGGACAGAGATCATTTTAGCTTGAAAACGCCCTTTTCAAATAAAGACGGATCCCTGATGGATGTAGCCATGGAACAAATCAGCACATGACCCACTGTGGCACCATGACTTAGAGATATAATGTGGGATTTGATGAGCTTTTAAGGAGCCGAGGGATAGATTTTTTAGACCTTTGGAGAGAGTTTCCAGTCTTTGTGCTAACCTGAGCTAATCACCTGCTGACTGTAGCTTTATGTATAGCGTTCATAGTGGTGTCAATCTATTCTTCTCACTTTCTGCAAGAAAATAAACAAGCGTTTCTCAGATGTCAAACTATTCCCTTATCATTGAATCTTTTTTAGTACTGCATTGTTGTGACATGTTCACTTAATTACACTGTGAAAAGCAACTTCCAGAGATGTCAGACTAATCGATCACACTGGACATCTTGTCTTCTTCTATTCCCGTCAAATGTTATCGCTGCAGTGTAAGGTTGAGGAATTTTCTAATCAAAGTGCTGGCATTCATCCTGGAGTACTTTCTGTTGCTTTTGGCACATCCAGTTTAAAAACTGTACTTCTGTCTCTGTGTGTAAACTGATTCTCACACAGCCCACAGTGCTCCTCTCCTGTTGTGACGTGTAACACTGATTCATCAGCAGCTGTGTTTGTCTGGACTAGGGGTGCTAGGTGATATTAGCTGTGACTGATCAACACCACATGTGGATCCCAAACTGAGAAATTTACTACCAGAGCAGATTCAGGCCAGAGATCAGCCCTCAGATTTCTGTATTTTCCTGGATACTGATCCGAATGGAGTATTGTTAATGCACACATAAAATGAGCTTCTCAAGTTTCAGTTGCATTCAGGGGAGATTATGGAGAGATTACAAACTGCAAATGAGGCATTTTCCAAACATGAGGAATGCACAAATTTATGAACTTACGGTTGCATTGTAAAGAATTGGTCTTTCAGCTCTATCACCAAACTTTGTTTCTTCCTCCCCGTGGTTGTTCTTGCTGGCACGAGTCCAGTAATGTGCTATACTCCCTGATGTTCTCCATGAGTAATCATCAGTCACCACAATAGATCCAACAACACTAATTTGTGTCTTTCCTGTTTTGTCTTTACCTTTTCCCAGAGTTGACTTTGATTCATGCCTTCCTAACTGGCACTGAGTACCTTACCACCCTGACAGGGCTTTGTGTGGTCACATACTGCTGGGATATTTCAGAGAGAGCCTGCTGAGGATAAGATTGATTACTTCCTCTGCAGAGATTCTTTGGCATTACTTGGACAGAGAACGTAAACCTTCATTGGGATTCCCCATGTAGGTTTCCTCTTCTGAGCGTGTAACAGGCACACAATGTCAGCAACGGTTAGTTTAACAGGGATCTGGCTGTCCTAAATGTACATGTAAATCTCTATAGGTGGTGTATAAAGAAAGATGGAACTAGACATTGGAGGGGGGGAAGTGTTTAGAGCCTTCTGAGTATATAAGTGTTTTTTGACATTGCACTTTTCATGGGGTCTAATTCTTCATTAGAGAAGTAATCCCACTAAAAAAATCTGAAGAGTGCAAGCATTATAAGCTTACAATGGCAGAAATGTCAGAGACAGATATAGGGGACTCAGGAGATAGATTAGGTCATCCACTAACAAGGTGGTTCGAGCCCCATCTTCCCATTCCCCATGCTGAAATGTGCCGGCAGTGTGTGAATAGTATATGTGATACAGAAAATAATGTGTGTGTGTGTGAATGGGTGAATAGCATAACTGTACTATAAAAAGCTTTGAGTGGACATCCAAACTAGAAAAGTGCAATATAAATACAGGCCATGGATTTTCCATTTATATCTCAAAGCCTAGACAAACACTACAGCTACTTTTGTTGATTAACAACAATTCAAATAATGCCTATTACAGCTGAACATTCATATTTTCTGTTCATTATCAATACAAATCATAAAAATGGTTAAAACCACTTTTAACAAGCCATGCCACCGCACAGAGACCATTGACAACCTCAACACATGGCCATTGCACTGAAATACAAAAAATCAAAAAAGAGCCATGTCTGTGTAAAAATAAATTTTATTTCAAAGTAGATTACAACATTGTCATGAAAAAGCACAGATGTCTCCTGCTGCACATAATCTTATGACACCAGGCTGGTAGATGTAGTGGACTGTCCTGCTCTGCTTGTGGGCCAAGCTTCACCTAAACCATTTCAGTGTCATCTTGAAGAACAATGCAAACTCTTACGAAACTCTGGAGTTTAGTCTCACAAACATTTTACCCAATACAGCATATAAAATGGTCAGGTACCAGATGTGTCTCTGATTGATCTTTCAATATTTAAAGGTCAGTTATTTCACACAATGAATTATTGGTCATTTCAAATGTGTAACTAAATGCTTTGACCTATGAACACAAAAGACAAAAACAAACCTTAAGCAGGATCACATAACCTGTATCACAGAGATTTATTGCAATGATCATCTGATGCCAGTCACATATTAAAATAACTATTTACCTAATATAAATGTCAGATTCTACTGTTTAGAATTAGAATTATTGGATAACTAAACAATGTGTTATTGGTGACTCGTATAACCCACAGTTCTGTGTGATTATGAACCTTTCAGTAATGGACAGCAGGTAACATTGAATGTTGTGTGGCCCATGTGCAAAACTCTGGCTGACGTTAAACACTCCCTGTGTATATAAGAACATTATGTTTAGAGACTCAGAGCAAGAGATGTTATTCTCTCAAAGATTGCACATTTTCAATTTATCTTTATTTACCAGTCCTCATAAAATGCTCAGCAGATTTTATGTTAAAATGAAAAGAACATCCATGACCATATACAATAGCAGCTTTACTCTCAAATGTTCTCAATTTTACAATATTCCCTCATGACCCTAGGAAGAGTTTCTTCATCTGCTGGCAACATACAGATGGTTTTGGTGCCAAACCTTCTATCTCATACAGGGCAAAGAGACCAAACTCCTAAAAAGAGTACTCCATTGAGTCATTCTGAAATGACTCTATAGACTTTTACAAGTTCTGCTTGCAAGAAGAGAAGATTCCACTCCTGCTCCAGGTCAGACCTTTCCATCACCGACTTATTTGTCTCCGACTGTGCCCATGCATCTTCACACAGTCTCGTCTGTCCGTCCCCTGTGAGCAAAAAGGGGAAAAAAGTGCCAGTGTCAATTTAAGGATCATACCCAGGGACACATTTTAGACCTAAACACAATTTAAGTTCAGTTGAGTTCACATGTTTCTATGCAGAGTCTATACAGCATAAAAGTGGGTGTATTGCAATGAAATAGTTGTCTCGAATGAAAAGCTTTTTTTCCTTTAAAGGATGTTTTCATATGGCACCTATAAATAAGCTAAATCCCAAAAGAGAGATTTGAACGCCAAGATGGACCACGTCCATTTTGCTAGGATTCTAATCTTTGTGTCATATGATCCCCCACTAAACTGGAAAACACTTATTCCAGTCAAACGTCCAATGAACAGTTGCAAAAGTCAAGTCAGGTAGAGATGTAATTTTACAGTCCATAGAAAATGTATAGAAAAGGAATATATTCATGTCTAAAGTAAAATAATACAAAAAATACTGAAATAAAAACATTTCCTAAGTTCACACCGATTACAACTCACATTTGTTAAATATTCTGCAGCAGAAATGGTGCAGGTGGATTATAAAGGTTGAAATTGTAAATAGATTTGCATTGTAAAAGAAACATTAGCTGAATTGAACTGTAGAGTGTGATGAAGCAAATGCTGTGCTTCATCTGCTGATGGTAACTGAGAGAGAAACTTGAAAACACTGGAGTTTGGCTGACTGTGTGTGGGGCGTGTATTCTGTATATATTTTTACCCCTTTCCGTTGGTTGCTGAGGCAGAAAGTGCAGATGGTCCTGGGCTGCTTGCCCCCTCCGCTCCCCTTCAGCTCCTTGTAGACAGCACCGAGACACGGCTGACCGTCCTCCCGGCCGTCCCCCACCACCAGCACGTTGGCCAGGTGCGAGATGTAGCTGGACGCCAGGCGCAGCGTCTCGATCTTGGAGAGTCTCCTGTCCACCGGTTCCGTGGGGATAAGCGTCCGCAGAGCCGTGAAAGCCGTGTTCACATTCTGGGTCCGGTGTCTCTCTCTGGCGTTGGCGGCGTTCCGCGTATGCACCACCACGCCGTCGGACTCCCGCCGGAAACCCTCCCCCGAAGTCCCGCAGAAGCCGTAGCCCTGGTCGGTGCTGCCGTCGCTCTCGCTGCGGCTCCCGTCCTCGTCGTCCGACATCATGGTCAGGTCAGCGGGGTAAGAGAAGGGATGAGTGGACACCGGCCTCAGCATAGTGAAAGCCATCATTGGTAAGCGAGAGTCTCACTGAGGAGGATAAGTCCCGTAATGTCAACTAGGAAACCGCCGCATGCAGACAAGAGCCGTGCGTAAAGGTGGATGTAACTCCGAGGTTGACCAACTCAAGCTCCAGGTCGTCACCTCTCCATACCATGTCCCGGAGTGACAGCGATCGTGACAGGGAGGTCTCTTATAGCAGCTGTGAGGGGGGGTGGAGCACATGGAGAGGCCCCCTTCCTCCCAAATGTTTTGGTCCTAAAAGTGCAGACATCAGTTTGGTAGCTCTCCCCCCCC